AAATTGCTGGGGTTACGAGAGAGGAAGGAAGTTCGCACTCGAGACACCGAGATTGCTGCTGTTGCAATGTGCGGCGGCAGTCCATAATGCAGTTTTTAATACACACTCTGCGTTGCGTGTCGCAAATTAGCCAGTCCCTCCCCCTCTAACGGAGCACCCTAAGTGGGGGGAGTGCATTTTCGCCCATGTTTAGCACTGCCTAAACCATCAATTAGTGGACTAAATCTGGGAAAAACTAGGCCTAGTTGAGGGCAATAAGACATAAAGTAGAGAGGGAGAAAGAAAAAAGAGCAATGGGGTTGTATTTAAGAAGGAATCTTTGAGTTCCCTTATAAATAAATAAATATTAACGACAACCTAATCAAAAATTAGCAATTTAATACCAATTCTTCCATTTATTGGCCTTTCTCTGATTTATGGACAAGAGTAAAAGGCATTTAGCTTATCAAAGGCGCAACTTTCCTTTCGCATCCTCGACTCAAGCCAGCATCCAGCGGATGCAATTCGCTTTTTGTGTGGGAAAAACTATCGAAAACTGGCTGCCGAAGCAGGAAATTGTCAAGCGATGCGTCCTGTTTCCTGCAGGCAATCCAAAACCGATCCGAGATGCGAAAGAAAAAGGCCAAGAGAGACCCAGGACTCAAGACGGGGTCGGGTCTTGGTGGCAGCAACAGCAACAGCAACTGCAACTGACACGAAAAGTCACTTCCTTATTGCAAAGCTCACGCACACAGGCGCATTTAAGCCATCATCTAAATCAAGGCTTATGTAACTGCCAACATTTGCGCTGGCTTTTCTTTTTTGCGCTGACTCGCTGCCTCGCTTCATGCTTTTTCTTGCCTTATTGCCAAACTGCCGAAGGAATTGGGCGAAAAAAAAGGCAAATGCATCTAACACCGGTTAGGCAGGTTTTTTTTCTTTGCATCCCAGAGATTGCAGCAGCGGCAGTTGCATGCCACATACAGACAGCAGCGACTGCGGCAACGGCAGCATTAACAACAAATCTTGTTACTCAATTTCAATTGGTGCGCTGTTGGCGTCGCTGCAACAGCGTTGCAGGCAGAGCTGCACTCGAAAGTTCTGCTGCGCGGAAAGCTCTCTCTCGCTAAGTCGAGTCTCTCTCTCCCTCTCTCTGTGGCCTGCTCTTTTCGCTTCTTTGTTTTGCTTCTGGTATTCTTCAGCTGCTGCTGCGGCAGCCTCTGCTGCTGTTGTAAAAGCTCTGCCTCTGCCAAAGTCGACGGCGGCCGAGGCAGCAACTGAGCGGCTGGCCCTCTTCGTTGCCTTCGTTTCGCTGTCGTTTTCAGTTGTTTCTCGTTGCCAGAGCAACTAATTTGGCTTTTTTCCCACTCAATATAAAATATGAGAATTAAAATAATTTAATTTAAGCTTTTACTATCTAAGTGTTAAGAGAGAAAGTATGTAACAGGCGAAGGAAGCCTTTTATACAAAGTATGTATATTAAGTAACTTATGAACGTTACAACCCCCACTACTAGTCACAAATCGTAAGATATTTCAACTTTTGTCAAGAGACAGTTTAGCTTTTTTAAGACCTAAAAAGCAGGCAGCACTTTTCGTTGCTCATACCTCGCAACACGCGAACGCCGCAGCAGCAGCGGCAGCAGCAGCGGCAACAGCAGCAGCGGCAGAAGCAGCAGAAGCAGCAGCAACAGCAACAGCAGCAGCGGAACACTTTTCAGTTGTCTCTCGTTGCTCCAAGCGCGCGACACGCGAACGCTCCAAACCGCAGCAGCAGTAACATTAAACACAGCAGCAACAGCAGCAGCAGCAACACCCAAACTCCAAGCAAACACAAATTTCCAGCCACTCTTTAGGTAGAAATTATTTAAACATTTTTAAACAAAACTTCCTTGCGAATAAAAAATTAAAAATAAAAGTAAAGTGCGTTTAAGTCAATATCAATAAATATTCGCAACACAACAACAACAACAGCAACACCCACCGAAAAGCCGACGGTTGCATAAATTGATTTCGGGGCATTCATTGTGTGATTTGAATTTCAAAATCAGCCCGCGAGAAGAAATCTTCTTCCCTCAAAAATACAGCCGAAAGTTACAGAATAAAAATAAAATTTAACAAAAGCAGAGCAGTGAAATTAAAGCAAGAAAACGACAAGAAAAAAGTTTCTTAAGTGAAGTTTCCGAAATCAAAAAGAGACGAGAAGCCAACGCACGCAGCGGAAAAGCAACGCCGAAGAAGAAGGAGCCTATTTTTGGATAACCTCTCAGCTGAATGGTAAATTTTAAAGCCATTTCCGGGGGAGACAGGACGCGAGGATGCTTCCCGAATTTAGCATACGCGGCGTATACGCAATATCAGTTCGCAGGGGGGGAGAGAAGTGAAGCTATCACCTCGCACTGACTAATCAGGGTTCATCGGTCGCCAGCATTACTTCCTGTCTTTGTGGTGGGGCGAAATTTTACTTCCTATTTCGCGAGCAAGTATTTTGCAAATTTCCATTTTTCCTTCTGATTTCAAACCTTACAACGCGGCCCCAAAAAACTGGTTTCGTTTGCGAAACTGGTTGGCGTTTGTTTATCCGCCAGTTTTCGCTGTGCAGCCCCTCTCTCTCACTCGCTGTTCCCGTCTCTGTTTTGATTTGACTCCTTTTCCTGCCCGCGAGCATTTGATTTGCATTCCCGATGCGGATTGGGTCTTGGTTTCGAATTCCCAGCTTCTAATCAGAACCGGAAACATAAAAACGACGCCGCCAGTTGCAGTTGCTGGTTGCCAGTTGTCCGGTGAACAGGTGCATAGAGCCCAGAGTCCTATTGGTTCCCATTACCAGCTGCCTCGGCGACTTCTGCGGGGTCCAGCTCGACTACAGATGCAGCTCGTGCCTTGATTCGTGCACTAGAAAGAAAATTGTGTGAAACATATGTATCTGATAAGTTGCGATATACTTGTGTAATTTTCTTATTAAATTCAAAAAAATCTTCTAATAAGATGAAATAAATCTTATAAAATGTACACTGGCCACTTTTAAGCCCATTATAAATGCTATAAACCTTCAAATGCACCTTCAAAAAGATTCTTTAAGCATTTCAATAAGCCATGCCTCAGTAGAAACTCCAACTTCAAAATATCTTTTCTCTCTGTGCACCCGATTCCCCCTCCGGGCGAATCTCGGTTCTCTGCATACATTTGTATCCATTATGTGTGTGTAATACGGTTTATCTACATACACATGGCCGGGGCCTCGCATAAAATAGTTGACAAATTCGCAAACTATACAAACAATGCCCAGAGAGAGAGATACATAGATACGCAGATACATAGATATACAGATACAGATGGAGATACTCGAACTCACACCCGTGCACTTGTTTGCCGAGTTCATTAACATTAAGTGTTGTCCTTGTGCGTTTTCAGCTTTTTTGCTAAGCGAATCAAATGCTCTAAGCACAAGTAAAATCGACTACTAGATACCCTAGGGCCTTCAAAAATGTTGGATAATCGATAGAAACCTATGAAGCCCTAGCTGGCGAACAAAGTTAATTTGAAAATTTCCTAATTGATTTTACTCTTGTTAAAATAAATATTAACAAGGCGAAGGTGTCATACCCCTGCCTAAGTCCTTGTTGTAAAGGGTATCAAAAGGCAAAAGGCATTTCCCCGGCACTAATAAATAAATTATATGCAACAACATCTGGGTTAAGTAGGCAGCAGGCAGCCGGCAACAAACATTTTGGCCAGGTAAACCAACCGAGGGCAGGAGCAGGAGCAGAGGCAGCAGGAACTCTCTCCCCTTCTCCCTCCGGCTCAGAATGGATACACACACTTGGGCTTTTGGCCCGAGCAAATATATGCCGAGCGAATAACCCAACAGAATGCCGATGATGATCTTTATCGTCGTCATAATCAGCGTTCGGCGGCGTCATCATCGAAAAGCCAGTCGAAGCCAAGCGAAGCGAACGAACCAGCCAGCGAACGGTATTTGTAGTAAAAAGCGGCCAATAAACTGAACGCGTGCGGTTCAAGGTTTGGCCAAAGCCAAAAATGAAACTAAAACGCAAAGCAGAAACAAAGGCAGAAAACAAAAATCAGAAAATCAGAAAAAAAAAACTAGCTAGCTAGCTAGCGAATGACGGGCACACAGACGACAGGCCAAACGAATAACAATTAAATCTCAAAAGCATGAAATCATCTGCCCGGCCAGCTAAACTAGCACAACGACTACTAAAATATGTATCCATGAGATACGGATCCGAATGCGAATCCGAAGCTCATTGACCAAAAAGTCACAGAGCGGCGGCTGCTGCTGCTGCTGCTGTTACTGTTACCGTTAAGCCCGAGCCAAGTCAAGCGCCCATTAACAGTTAGCGTTGGGGCCAATTACCCAACTCAGGGTAATTGACTTGGCCAAGACGGCGACGGCGGCGGCGACGGAGGCGGAGACAGGTTAGCGGCGGGAAGGAGCTAAAATGTGATGCGATAAAAGCGGTCATAACTCAAGTGCCGCCCGGAATCAGCTGAAATCATTTGCGGCTCTAATTCCTACGGATTCCGGGGCTGCTCATTAGATGATACAGCCTGGGAGAATCTCTCCCGAGTTCTTTTAGTTTATTACAAAATTGACCTACATATTTCTTTGCCGAGCGAGTGGCCATTGTACGCCAGCAGATACATTTGTATCTCTCGGCTTTTGCACTGGGAAAAATCAAGCCAAAGGGAAAATGAGGAACTTTAAAAGGTTTTTAAACTACATTTAGTGATAATCCATAACTTAAAGGGTTTCAATGAAATGTTGAGCTTAAATAATTATTTATATATTTAATTTATTAAATGTTTTAAGACAAAGATTGAATTTCAAGTACTTTGTAGAATATATAATTCATTCATAAGATGGTTTCTTTACTCCATACAAATTTTCAAATATAAAAGATTTTTGTTTTCAGAACCAGATGAACTTTTCTTTCTCTGTTAATGCTACGTGTTTGCTTGCTTCTTGTTATTTATTCATTATAATTTTATTTCGTCTGCTTTGTGTATATTGTCATTAGCAAACGAACTGGGCTGAGCCGAGCTGATGGGCGGGTTCCTCGAAATTGTATTGTCCGCTAACATTAATGAACTTATATGGATTGGATGTGTCAACCATTTGCCAAATATCCAAATATTCCAATTCCGAATAGAAGAGAGAGAGCTTAAGTCGGACTGGATAGAAACCAAAACGCCACTCAATCGGAGAAGAACTTTCAAAATCAACTTTTGTGGGCCAGTGGACAGTGTGTTTGTATGTGTTTGGTTAGCCCTCGTCATAATTGACAGTTTTGTGCCAAGAATATACCGCAAACTGTTTTAGTTTTGATTTGGACTGGCAGCCGCCGCAGAATGATTCGCTTCGCTGCATTGGCAGGTCGAGAAGCAACAACGAAAAGATACTTTTTCGCAGAAACCGATACTCTGTAGAGTTGGTAACAGCCGTTGGTAGTGCCCAGAAGTGACCTCTAAATTGAAAGAACTCGAGTGCCAGACAAAAGACACCCCCACACTCCAACCCCTCTCTACAGAGACTATATAGTTTATAACCATATTTAGTCTGTAGATCCGACCACAAGTGAGGCAAGGTGGCGAGTACATAACCACAGCAGCAGTGGGGAAACCGAAGCATGGAGAATATTCGCTTAATTTAAGGTTAAAAAACATTTGTTCTTATTTGGTATGAATTTAACATAGTTTTCTTCTGATTAAATATAGAATACTCAAGTCTTCAAGGTATTGTTTATCAGAGATATAAATACTTCTCCTTAATCTAAACCGCAACTCTTTTAGCTAGAACTAACAGCATATGAGTGGCAGGCAGGGGCTATAGCTCTCGCTCTTCATGGCCATGACGATGGCCTGCCTGCCACATATGGAGACGGGTCGGCTCCTCCGCTCCATTCAGTGCGCCAAACAGAACAGAACCGAGCACCGAATGGATCCCAGCTGAACTACACCAGACTAAAATAAAGAGAACTAAATGGAATGGACCTAGGGGCGTCGACAGTAACTGTTTTCGGTTGGGGGAGTAGTAACTAGAAGGAGGCACTGGAGCCGGAGCCGAAGAAGCGTAGCTCGTCAGTTACTCTGGCGAGTCGCCATTTAATGACGCCTGTTTTTATTACAAAATGTATTAAAATGTTGTACAGGTGGTTTTTGTCGGTTAGAAGATGAACGGAGGGGCTATGGCAGGGGGTTTTACTTTGGTCTTCAAGGCGACTTTTCGCCTTAGGAGTGGGGGGCGCTGCTTGGGTGGAGCTGCAGCGACGGCTCCGTGTGTTGATGAGCCTATTAAATGCTGTTGATGGCTCTCAGCGGAAAAAACAAGCAACAGAAAACAGAGGCCGACTTCGAGACATACTCGTTCGATAGAGATAAAGACGCAGATGGAGCTGGAGATGGAAATGGAGTTTTTGTCGGCTGGCTAATGACTCTGCCTGCCTCCGACTGCGACTGTAGCTACAGCGACTGTGTGCCCGAAATGAGACGGGTTTAAAGTGGGTTAAACGCGTGGATCGGGGTCGCTGGGAAATGACTGCATCCGAATCTTTAACACGTCCAACACGACAACGAGTGGGACTATTTGGGTTAAAGCGGGCGCAGCTCCTAAATTGGTAAATTACTTAAAATGGACACTAATGGATATGACAAGTGGGTCTTCTTTTTTAGGAATTAAGACTTGAAGAAAGGTTTCAAAGCTTTCTATCTTAGCTAAGACTGAATATTGGCTTTACTTATAAGTTAGTAAAATCTTCAATTCTCTTGTCACTTTAAAGTAATAAATCTGTAAATCTCATCTCCAAAGTCCATTTAAAGCACTTACCCTCAAAGTCTGCTATGCACACAGAGCACTCTCTCTCGCCTGAATAGTTAAAGATACTAATGCCTCGTCCGCCCTTCTTAAACCCCTGAGCTAATGTGTGCCCATTTCATATTTATGCGTGGCTCATTAGCAAATGCAAGACTCAGTGCACTGGTGTTGGTATTGCGGAAGGTGCAACAAAAAGCAATCAGTGGAAGGGAGATAGAGAAATAAGCACTTGGCAACTCACATCTTCAGCAAATTTTCACTTGCACTTCCACTTCCATGAGGTTGGCAATCGCTGGAGTTAATTTTATTTGCAAAATAAAGCGAGGCAAACTTTAAATGGAGTCAAATGCCAATGCACACAGATACTCGCCACGCACACTCACAGATACACACACACACACACACACACTCGAACACTCTGGCCAGACGTCTGCCGAACAAAGATTGCACGCCAAACAACGCAGCGAAAAAGCAACAAAAAGTTCAAACGCCAGACAAGGATGCACCAAAGTGCAAAGGCAGCCAGCGAACAAACGAAACGAAACGAAATGAAACGAAGCAACGACCCAACACACACAGCCAGGGGTTGCCCGCAGGAGGGGTCGCAGAGGCGTCGTCGGGGTCAGGAATGGTGGCTGGGGCAGAGGATGGGGCTGGGGCAGGCGGCACTCGAGGCAGACGACGGTTGCCAGGAAGGCGAAATAGCACCGAAAGAACCAAGTCTTAGAAACTTTAATTTGAATTCAAATATATGGATAATAATAACAAATTTTAACAAGATTTTAATTTTATATTAAGTGTTAGATATCCTTTAAAAAGTAGTATATAGTTCCAAAAGGGTTCCTTAAAAAAAAAAACGGTGCCCAAAGAACTGACTCACGAATCGGACAATTTATCTACCCAGTTTTTAAATAATTAAAAGAGTTAATTAGTAATTTTTTCCATTCATAAATATTTTGTATACAATATTACAACAAATATAGTTTTTTACTGACTTATTATAGATATAAATCTGAACCTTAGCTATTTTATAATTATTTGTCTCAGTGCATCAGTTGCTGGAGGAGCCAGTGCTTGAAAAACGGAAAGCCAAAAGGATTGAACAACCCAGTCGGACTTTTCGGGAGGACGCGAACAGGGGAGGATGAAATTCTTCTGCAAATGGGAGGGCTTTCTTCGAACGAAAATTCCCTTTGGGGATTTTTATTTTTAATGCGAGAGAGAGAGAGAGAGAGATAAAGGGATACATATATTTTTGCTCTTTACTTGAAACTGTATGTATTCGCGTTCCCGACATTAGCTTTTGATTTGACTCAGTGGCGCAGTTGGTAAGCGGACGGTCTGTGATTTCTGAGACATGGGTTCAAACCCCGACCGGGATTTAAGGGGGGATATACATGTAAACCAAATTTTTTTTGGCAATTTTTTTTTTTGGTTTAAAAAATGGTTATTACTTAAAGAATATACTGTGTAAATTTCATTATCGAATTCCAACTTTAGGTGCCTCAAATCAAGTATGCACGCAAGGTTCACTAGTGTTAACGTGGGCGCATCAAAAACTTTAATCGTCATTTTCTCAACTTCTAATTTTGGCATTTCTACCTATGCTATGGACACGATTCACAAAAAACTACGTAACATATCGGAGTGAATCAAAAATTATTATGATCAGCATGAAATTATCTTCTATTTGAACCTAAATGGTTGTTATAAAACTTAGTATTACTATTTTTTAAGAGGGTGGGAAGTTAAAACTTATCACCTGAAAATGGCATTTTTTCCTTCAAATCAAAATTTATTTTTTTTGTCTTGATTTCTTTTTGGTTTTTTAGGTTCAAATAGAAGATAAAGGTGTAATGAATACAAAAAAATTTAGTTTACGGATTTCGGACAGGAATTACGAGCTCTATCGTGTCCATAGCACGGCAACTCAAAGCTCGTGGCGCTACGGCATATGTTCCATAAGTCCGCCATTTTGTAAAATATTGTTTATAACTAATTTTTTTTATCATCTCTGATTATACTTTTAACTATATCCAAAGTTTCACGACGATTGCTTGACTATTTCTTATAAAAAAAAATTTACGTAAAATGGCCAAATTTTGACCGCTTACATGTATATCCCCCCTTAAGAAAAGTAAGTTTATAAGTGGCTTTTAATAAGATTTATACATTCATTTAAGTAATTTAATAACCATTTAAACAAATAATAATTAACAAATAAAATAATAAAAAAGTTTTTTATTTTCTAAATTTTTATACTCTCTGGGGAGGAAAAAATTCTGGAATTTTGCAGAATTTCTTCCTGACCCGAGCAGCGACGGATTCTTCGTAAATCCAATTTTTTATACTCTCTCGGGAGGAAAAAATTCTGGAATTTTGCAGAATTTCTTCCTGACCCGAGCAGCGACGGATTCTTCGTAAATCCAATTTTTTATACTCTCTTGGGAGGGGAAATTCCGTAAAAGATCAGATTTTTATACGCTCTGGGGAGGAAGAAGTTCTTCAAAAGGCCAGAATTTCTTCCTCACCCGAGCAGCGACGAAGGGAGACAAAATACACGAATTACCCCGGCCGCCCATGTATAAAAGCGAATTAGACTTTTACAGAAAAAGGTAGGACTCCCTCCTCCCGTTTCTCGGAGAAAATAGTCCTCCTTTCCTAGGGAAAAGTCCGACTGGGAACCTGGGTGCCCGGCAGTGAGTGAGACCCAAGAGGGATTTAGGAAGGAGCTGGGGAGCGGGGCAGTCCAAACAGCAGGAGGCGACGCACGTGAAGACGACGCACTCAAGCATACACGCACACATACGCACTGCGCCGGCAAACACAATCTCACAGTCGCACACTCACTCACACACACACGCACTCACCAGCACAAAGGCTGAAACAAGAACAAGTGCATTGACACTTTACGGACGGACAGAGCACAGGGGCGGAGTGTGCTGGCTTCCAGGAGCGGAGTAGCAAGGGGGCGGGGGCGGGGGCTTGCGGACAGACGGTGGCAAGGCGACGACTGCAAAGGGTGAAGGCACCACCGACAGCGCTGCATTTTGATAGCAATCCACGGCGAGGGATCGACCTCGAGGCAGCAACATTAACGTTCCACAGCTGATCGACAGCATACAGATAGAAAAAATAGGGTCTGCTTTGCATTTTTAGAACTTTAATATGTTTTCTTTCGAGCAACAAAGACAAGTCGGTTTAATTTGTTATACATACGTTATTTTTTTGTCGGAAAAAAGGTACACAAAGCTTTTTTCCATTCGTTTTCTATTTTTTCTCAAAAGCTTATCACTTGGGTGTCACAGAATTCCCACTTGGGAATTATTAGTAACTTCGCAACAACTTTGCTTAAACTTGTATTAAGAAAAACCAACTTTAACTTATTATTTTATAAATAATTTCATTCATCACACATTAAATACTGGCATTAACAACATAATTTTTCCCTTAAATCGTTTTTCTTTTGTATAATTTTTCCCCTGTGCATTGAAGAGCGATGAAATCGTGTGGAAAAAAATACAGATACAGAGTCAGAGTCAGAACAACTCACCGAAAAAACGAAATTCGCGTTCGTTGCACCGAATCCGAATTGCTAAATGAGCAACGGAGCCCAATGGGAAGCAGGGCGGAGTCCGGGGTCCCACTGATTATGATATTGCAAAACAAGCAGGCAAACTCCAGGCCAGACTCTCATTATGATGACGATCGTAATCGTGGTGGCTTGGCTGTGGCTTGGTGGCTGTGGCTGATGACGATGACGTTGCCAAACAAAAAGTCAAGAATGAAATGCCACAACAAGAACAACGAGGAACGAAGAACGACGTTTATAGTTCAACGCACTGATCCGCACCCCTCTTCCGCAACCGCCCGATCGGTAGCCACTGGCCAGTGCCCCTGGGCAGGAGCAGGGTGAGGAAATCACTCACGCGCCTGCAACTTTACGTCCCGGTCAATGATCGTCTGTGAGTCGTCTTGCAGTCGCTGGGCCAGAGAGCTCCTCATCATAATGAAGACAACGACTCTTGTTGACTTCCATTGACAATATGGTGACGGTTCTGATGTTGATCTTATTATGCTGAGCTGGGAGCCAGCCAGTGGAGGGATCTCTTCGGACAGGAAGCTGCTGATATCGATGCTGGGGGATCTGATTATGCCGGGGCTTCGCCTGCGACTTACATGGCATCATCAAATTGAGGGGCTAACCTAAGCCATTCAGCGATAAGGA